CTCAAACTGTACGACGACACCGCAGGGTTTAAAAGTTCACGGCTCACCATGTTTGTTCTCACTCTGTGCGACCAGACGCTCTGATGCGATCTACCTGCTCACACTGTACGTCTAAAAACCACGTGGGAGTCAGCTCCGTGGTGACATGGAGCTACTCGGACTCGTCTTTCAGGAAGTCAAGAGAGTAGAAGAGGAATATGAAGCTCACTAGAGGGAAACGCGCTACCATGGCAATTTGTGCAATTTTGTGCTGAAAGGCCTAAAAAGAAAAGGCGACAACATATTTGGACAAAGACATGACTGATCAAACGTAGCTGCTACGGTCTGTCAATTTTATGGAAAGAATTCCATTTCCAACCCGCCATGCTTCTGTGTTTACCTCTGACAGGAAGAAGAAGAATCCTTTTTTGCACACTGAAGGATTTGCCTACAACCACCTTGCGATGGTCAACTGAATTTCAAACATGTTTGAGTTTCTCCCTACTTTACGATTCCTGATCGGGAGGTGGTTGCTAGAGGCTGATGGCCCCTCAGTACACCCGGTATACTACACAACGCACCATCAGGCTGAAAGTTGGCCCGATCGAAAAATTCTCGCACAACTGGAGAATCGGCCTGAAAAGGGCGGAAAAAAAAAAATTCAGTGTATGCCCGGCTTTAGGTGAGATATGTTTTTTATGCGTTTCTCTTCATTTTAACAGGGAAACAAAAAACAACTTGTTTTTAATCAGTTTCCTAATATTAAACATTTTAGTCCTTTTGCGTTACTCAAGTAATGAGTGAAAAATGTTTCCTTAGATTCCTCCTCTTTTCATAGTTTCCATTTTTTCATGTATGAAATGAAGGCGGTAGCTACAAGTTTGATTCCTCCCAGCCATAAGATGGCGCACTTTGAAAATGTTCTATCAAAGCCAATCAGCTGGAAATGTTGCTTGGGTTTAATTTTCCAGGAAATTTAACCCAGACGTAGAGTGTGAGCAGGTAGATCTCATCAGAGCGTTGGGTCGTGCAGTGTGAGAACAGACATCGTGAGCTGGGAACTCACACTGTACGATGAAGCCCTGCTGTTTGGTCGTACAGTGTGAGCTGTAGCTGCGTGCAATGATTAAAAGAAAAATCACACAGTGTACGCCCGACACAAATAGACACCTATGCCTGGCACGAGTAGACACGGACGCCCGGCACGAGTAGACACGGACGCCCGGCACGAGTAGACACGGACGCCCGGCACGAGTAGACACGGACGCCCGGCACGAGTAGACACTGACGCCCGGCACGAGTAGACACGGACGCCCGGCACGAGTAGACACGGACGCCCGGCACGAGTAGA